CCTTTTGGCTCCTGCTTCTCCAGGCCTTTCACTTCAGCTCAGCTCACCTTTCCTTAGCTGACCCTGCCCATTTCTTGCTAGTTACCCTGAATTTGACCAGGCTGTACCCCACTCCTGACATGCCCACCCAGCCTTCTCCCCTCCTCACCTCACTGTCGTGTGGGGGTAGCTGGTGCAGCAGCTGCTTTATCCTGTATTTCTCCCCAGGACTGTTGACATAAGGGACCTTGTCCTCTGGAAGGCAACTGAAAAACTGGTAAACCTGGGAGGATGTGAAAAGGTGACAGGAAACAATTACAGTTAGGGATAAGCTAGGATACAGCGAGGTCATGGGTCCCTGGTTCTATGGGACAATTAAAGTTATCTGAAGGATGCTTTTCCTGATATCAGTCTCTTTCTCGAAACTCCTGAATGATTGAAGGGACCTACAGGGCAAACTCTGCTCTCTTCTTCCCTTTATAGCAAAACTTCTCAAAAGAGTTAAGGATTCCTGCCTGTTCCACTTCCTCTGCCCCCATTGTATCTTGACCCAACTCAGGTCACTGGGATGTCTGGGCTGTAAAAAAGTCAAGCATTGTTCTCGTCTTAGTCCTCATTGGTTAGAGCATCCTTCGTCCAGGTCCCCACTGATTACTCTCGCTTCCTGAAAACAGTCTCTTCCTTGGGCCTCCAGAATACCACAAAGTCCTGGCTTCCTTCCTTCCTTCCTCACTGGCTGTTCCTCTCATTCTTTAAATTGTTCCTCAACTACTGGACACCCGAATATGGGATGGTTATAGGGCTGGGTTCTTGGTCCCCTTGCCTCTGTCTATGTATAACTTCTTAGAAATTGCATTCACCTTGGCTATAATGGTCATTTGTTGGCTAAGGTGCCAAAAACTGCGGTCCTGAGACCTCTCCCTATGTCCTAGGCAATGTAGCTATATAACTAGTACCACCAACTCTTATTCAAACTTGCTCTTGGTTGGCTTTAAAAAACAAAATGAAACACTCCTTCCCTGACCTTTCCTCTTTGACATGGGGGTCTTAGTATATAGTTCTTGCTGGTTTGGCCCTTGCTATTTCAATCAGGCCAGCCTTGGTCTCCTAAGGGGTGGGATTACAGGTATGTACTACTGGGCTTGGTTTGCCCTAGCTTCTTTCTTGTTTTCTTTTTAGGTTTATCAAGACAGGCAGGGTTTCACTATGTAGTAGACAGGCTGGCCTTGAACTCACAGAAATCCTGCCTGCCTCTGCTTCCCAAGTGCTGGGAATAAAAATGTGCACCACCACTGTCCGGCTGGCTTTTTCATACTACTTCATTCACCCATTCATCTTTAGAGTCATCTTTCACTTCTCAGTCTCTCCTCTCTCTCTCTCTCTCTCTCTCTCTCTCTCTCTCTCTCTCTCTCTCTCTTTCTCTCTCCATATATATATTTCAACTACATAGCCCTAGCTGTGTGTGTGTGTGTGGGGAGGGGGTCTGGAGCTTGCTATGTAGACCTTGGTCTACAAAGATTTACCTGCCTCAGCATCTCAAATGCTGGTACTGGGGGCGGGCAGTGGTGGCACATGCCTTTAATCCCAGCACTTGGGAGGCAGAGGCAGGTGGATTTCTGAATTCGAGGTCAGCCTGGTCTACAGAGTGAGTTCCAGGACAGCCAGGGCTACACAGAGAAACCCTGTCTCCAAACAAACAAACAAATTATGCTGGTACTGAAAGCCTATGAAACTGTGCCTGACTTTCAATCCCTCCCTCCCTCCCTCCCTCCCTCCCTCCCTCCCTCCCTCCGTCCCTCCCTCCCTCCCTCCCTCCTTCTGTCTTTCTTTTTTCCTCTTTCCTCTTTCCTAGTTAGGGTTTCTCTGTGTAGCCTTGGCTGCCCTAGTAATCTGTAGACCAGGCTGGCCTTGAACATTCAAGAATCCGTCTGCCTCTACCTCCTGAGTGCTGGGATGAAAGCCATGTGCCACCATTGCCCGGCTTGATTTCTTAAAGACTGGGACTTGTTATGTAGTCTAGGCTGTGCTGGGTCACATAGTGAGTTCCAATCCAATCAAGGGATACAGAGCCCTGTCTTAGAAAATCCTACCAAAACAACAAAAGACAATGTCTCCAGAACTGAGGCTAGGAGGTTTCCCATGCTCAGTGGTAGTGCCCTAGTCCTACCTAGCACTGTGTAGATTTCCAAAACCAAGCCTCAGTCAGCAGTGACCCCGACCATTGACACAACTCCCTAGTCACCAGTCGTGATTCCACCCTTGCTCCCAAGGCTGTTATAGCAGCCTGTTATATAAGAAGACAATATGTATACTGTTATATAAGAAAAGCCACGTCCCTCTTCTTCTCAAGCCCTCATTCAGAGCAAAGTTCTTTCCACAACCGTCTACTTCCTCTGCCCTTTCTTGCAGGCACTCTCTCTTCGCCCACCCTGCTCCTGCCCCACTGGTCTCACATTTCTTCTCACAGATGTGCCAAGCACACCCTGCCTCTGATGGCACACCTTGCCATTTCAACTTAGCCTGGACTGTGCCAACCTCAGATCTCTGGAAGGCTCACTTCACCTCCTCCAGAGCCGCTCAGATAGGGTTTGCCTGGGCACTCTATTTATAATCCTGGCCTCCCTCCCTTTCCTCCCTCAGCTTTTTTAAAAATTCCATAGCCCTTATGCCACCTGATGCACAGTCATGCCTTTCCTTGGAGAGCGCCACACTTGAAGCTGTAACTCACCAAAGATATCTTTTAAAGACCCATATGAACCGAACACCTCTACACACAGACTATTTTTCTGAGACAGGTTCTCTCTGTGTAGCCCTGGCTGTCTTGGAACTTAGTCTGTAGACCAGACTGGCATCAAACTTACAGAGATCCATCTGTCTCTGCCTCCCAAGTGCTGGGATTAAAGGCGTGTGCCAACACTTCCTAGTGACATGCATATTTTTTTGCCATTATTGTTATTTTATTTTAAAAAGATAGGGTTCTTATTATTTCCCCTGGCTGACTGGCATTATATATATAACACACAGCCTCAAATTTGTGGTAATCTTCCTGCTTCAGCCTTCCCAGGGCTGGGATTACAGGCATGTATTACCACACCCAGCTATTTTTCCTGAATGCTATCTTCCTCTCTTCCCCCCAACCCACGCCCCACTATGGGCTTGAGTCCAAGGCCTTGTACATGTTAGGCATGTTCTTCACAACAGAGCTATGAATCCCAGCCCAGAAACAATACAACGGCTTATCTGGCATTCACAATGTATCACGGTTTATAATCTAGAGAAGTTTTAAGGTGTATGGGAAGATATTTAGGTTATATACAAAAATAGCATGCCATTTTACATAAGGTGTAGGTTCTATACAGATACTATGCAGTTTTATATAGGAGACTTGATTCAACGGTGACGTAGTGAATGATGTGCTGAGATAAAGTCTGGAGTAAAGGATAAACTAGAAATGGGGCTGGAGAGATAGTCCAGTGGCTAAAAGCGCTCTCCCACTCATCCAGAGAACTGGAACTCAGTTTCCAGCACACACACACACACACACACACACACGACAGCGGACAACCTCTATAACTCCACTTCCAATGGATCTGATACCCTCTTCTGGTCTCTTCAGGCCCCTGTACACACCCAGTGCATGCATGGGTGGGCACCGGTGCACGAGTAAACACACACACACACACACACATACACACACACACACACACACACAGAGATCTTTAAAAAAGAAATGGGATGAAAAGTGAACAAGACCCAGAGGAACTGGCCCATTGATTACTCAGAACAGAGAGACACTGGTGGGTGGATCACACTCCAACATTACCCCAGAAATAGGTTTGCACTTAAATGCATATGTGCCTGCCTATGTGTGCGCCCATTGGAGAATGAGAGTGGGTAGCCAGCCTTTGGTCACCTGCTCCGGCTTAAGGCCAGGGGGTACCCAGGCATACTCCTCTGAGGCACAGCCTGAGTCGTCATCGGAAATGGAGTGGCGCTGGAAGTCTGAGATGAGCCGGCACATGATGCGTTCTAGGTCCACAGGCACAGTGTGTACAGCATGCTCTTCCCTTGGGCATTTGCAGTGCTGGCAGATCTTTCTGTGAGAGCCAGGATAGGAGTCGATTACTAAGGAGTGGGCCACCCAGATCTCTAGGCAGCCCAGGCCCAACTGAAGGGCAGGACATGTAGATTAACACCAAAGGACTCAGAGCTGGGACAGAGCTCAGTGCCTGAGGCCAGAGCTGACAGGAGCTGAGGCTAGGAGCCAGGCTCTGACTTTGCCTTGTGACCAGGCCATGGGACACTGGTTGTGCCAGGCTCAGTTTCTGGATGATGACTGGTCTGGAAAATAGGGGCCTAGAGGACTTGGGGGTTGGGCTGTGTATGATCCTGGGTACAGGATGTGAAGGGGTGGAGCTTCGGTTTCAGCTCTGGTACTTGGGTCAGATCCTCTGGGCAACAGGCCTGGCAGGGGCGGGACTACGGGCTGAGACTAGTATCATAAATCAAGGGATTTCTGCAGGCAAACCAGCCTGTGCTCTGTGGGGTAACTACCCCTGAAGGCAGGTCTCTAGGTTATGTGCAGGGGGAGAGGGGACACAAGTGGGAGTTTGTGGGACTATGGGCTCTTAGACTTTGGGTGCAAGGCTCCAGTAGGAGAGTACACTGGGTATGGGAAAATGTTCTGGGTCTAGAAGGGGCCTGTGGATAGGGATAGAAGATCGCCCTAGAGATGGGACTTAAACTTGAGAGATTTCTTTTGGGGTTCAGGGTTGTGGAGCTCTCCTGGGAACAAGTCTCCTGGGAATGAGTCAGGGGAGGGGCCCTGGAATGAACTTTGAGGTTCCTTTCCCAACTGAGCTCTCTGTGGGCGGAGCTCAAGCCTTGGGGCGAGTCTCTGACAAAGGCTAGGGTCACTTACCTCCAGCCGTGCAGCAGGAAACCCGGGCACTGTTCCCTGCAGGAATTGCAAGGCTGGCCGCGGGCAGGGTCCTTTACCTCTGGAGGCTGTAGTGGGTGGGGGCAGATGCAAGAGGAATTAAGGTACGGGAGTAGGGAGGAAGAAGTCAACGCCTGCTACTCCACTCCCAGGCTCACAACCGCAGGCTGGGGCCTGTCTTACTGGGGGCAGCACTGGGCAGGCTGAGACCGCGCCTGGAGCGCGGGGGAGGAGGAAACAAACCAGAGGCAGCTGAGACCACTTTCCTGTATGTTCCCTTTCCAGGGAATTCTCCTGTCTGGGCTGGTCTGTAGTTCTCAGACAGGTCCGTCAGAGAGAGTTCTCTACCTACCAGGGCAGAATACCTAACCTGGGCATTCCCTCCCAAGTCTCCCTTCAACATCCAGGGCTTCAGCAGCACCCCAGTCCCACAGGGTAGGCGTCCGAGAACCGATCCTTTCCCTGGGATCCATCATGGACTCTGGGTAAAGCCTTTCTCTCAGAGTTCTCCTGCCCCTCCCCCAAATCCTGGCTCCATCTCTCCTACCTGAGGAACTGAGGAGTAGACAGGACCTCGGGTCATCCCTGCTCCATTCAGAAAGCCCTACCCCCAAAAAACTTTGCCTCTACCCTTCATATTTTAGGACTACTCTCTTCTTTGGTCCAGATTCCACCTTTCTTGGTTAAAGATCTTTCAAAGGAAGAGAGAAACCATCCTATCTGGGAAGTCAGCTTCCAGACTCCGATGGAAGCCTGGAAATCTTCTGATCCTAAATCTTAGTTTATTGACTCTTGGTAACCATGGATGAAGGACCCCCATTCTCGTTCTACAGTCCCTCAATGTATGAGGTCCCTTAACCAGAAACTCAAGATGTCCCAGTCTTGCTCAACCTCAAATCTCAACACCCTATTCTTTTCACCTTTCGGATTAATTCACAGGTAAGGGGCATCCCCAGATCGCAACAGTGATAAAAGTGTGAGATGTGTTAGGGGCTTGAGCCACCATATCTACGTTTCTGCATCCACGATTGTACTTCAGTCCCAGTGCCCAAGTCTGGGAAAGCTGGGGAAGGGAGTTCCCAGATCCTCCCTTGGGGTGCCTCCCCTATGTCCCGGTGCCCTGCCCCCTCGCCTGGATCTCAGTTTTCCCCGACCCCCACCACTGCCCTGAGCCCTGCTCACCGCACGCCCGGAGCGGCGCCTCCGGGACCCACGCGCGAACATGGCGCACCTAGACAGAGTCAAGCCCGGCTGGGTCAGACGAATGGAGTCGGCTGCCACGGCGCGTCGGGCCTGGCAGCTCTGTTCCGTAAACTTGACTCCGAGGTGGGAGGAGCACGATTTCTAGGGCACGCCCCGCGGCCTGTGTAGTGTCTCAGTCACCCCGGTGTCCCTTATCTAAAGGTGAGTGAGTGCCTTGCTGGAAAGCCTGCTGTTGGCGTTCATCCTAGGGCTAGAGCCAGAGCAGGGTGTCAGAAGGCTGAGCCTTCAGTATCCCTCGGTGCCACATGGCCTTTAGAGTTTGAAAGCCGGAAGCAAGCCGGTTTGGATGTGGAGACATGGTGAGAGTGTTACACTGGAGTGCTTGTTTCTACGAATAGGGTCTTGAAAGCTTTGGGGGACAGGGGTCAAAGCCATCTCTCGGACCCTTCCTAGGTTCCCTTTTCCTGGGATGAATGTTCCAAGGACCGTTCCAACTTCATCTGCAGTCGTAGCTGGTGTTCTGTGGCTCTCATCAGGACTAGGTAGTAGAGTCAGAGCTGAGGTTTATGTGGAAAAGTCTGAAGTCACTGGCGAGGTTCCCCATTGCACCTCTGTCCAAAGAAGTAGGTCTCAGAGCCTTCCTTACTGTTCCCCTACTTTTCTGTCTCCAGGTAGATCTCCTTTCTTGAGCTCATTTCTAGAGCTGGGTCTCTCTTTCCTGCTCTCTGCGTCTCCGGGCCTTGGGGCTAGGAAGGGGTCAAGCATCTGCAGCTACAACTCAGAAGTCAGGCGCCTGAATTGAGTCTTTAATTAGGCATGAGGCGGCTACGGTCAGACAAGCCTTTCATCTTGGGCGCCCAGGAACTCCTTCTGCTCACCTCAACCCCATTACAACTTTGTCACTTCCTGACCCTTGTCCAGAGGGCAGCTGAGGGAGGGGGGCATTTATTCATCAGTTAATCAGTCTCTTCTCTCCACCTGGTAGGCCTCTGGTTTCCTGCTAAAGCTGAGGCAAGAGAAAGGAGATAAGATACCACAGGACCTAAAGGGGTTCAGAAACAAAGGCTTGGATAAGGTGAGGTCTTGTGGAGTCTCCTTAGTTAGGGAGGCCTTGAGGATTTGAGGAGAAGAGTTCCTTGTGGGCCAGGAAGAGAAGGATTTGACGGCCAGCAATGGAACAGTAAACAGTTCTAATGCAGAATGAGACCCAGCGTGCTTTGTAGGCGAGGCTTCAGCAGGATGCTACAGGGGTCTGTGCTTCCTCTAGTCTCCTTTCCCCTTGCCTCCTCTCCCTTCTGCATGCCCCGCCCCCAAAAGGACGCACTGAGAAATCAGAGCCGGGGGACTAGGTAGTTGAGGAGTTTATTTGGGGGAGGGGAATTTCTCATATTTGCTCTTCCATGGGGAGGGGGGTCTTCAAACAATACCGGAGGGTACAGGAAAGTAGGGGGGGTCTGGAGGGAAGGAGGGAGGGGCCACAGTCAGACATAATGGCAACACACGATCACAGGCACCTACCAACATCACAGACACAGCAGAGGGTACAGGATCGGGGCTCCAGAACCAGCCTCCAAGTATTCCGGGACAGACGGGAGTGTGGAGGGAGAAGGTAGAGAAAGGGGGAGAACGTAGGCCAGCCTCATACACCTGTATGTAGACTCCTGTCTTCTGACGATCTAGCCCTCTTTTGAGGAAGTCAGCAAGGGATATTTCGCTCATTCTCCAAACCACAATACTTGGCTCTTCCCAGGTTACCTCAATTCCCAGGGGCCAGGGGTATCCCCTCCTACTTTTAGCAAAACTCACCTCATATCACCTAGCCACGGCCTCCTACACCCTCTCGAACTCCACTCAATTGAAAATGCATTTTCTTTTCTGCCCCATTACAGAATGGGCTTCATCTTCTGAGACCACCTCACATTCCTCATGTCTTCACACGCCTGTCTGGAATCCTGACCAGGACCTCATCTCAAGCTCAGATCATCCCTGAACCCCACTTCTATCCTTGCTCAAGCTCTTTGGAATCAAGCTCAAACTCCTGAATGTTCCAAGGCAACACCCTTTCTAGAGATGCTGGATCCAAGCCAAATGCCCTGGAGCCCACTGTGTGTGTAAGTCACACCTCGACGAGTAACACTCTCCTTATCCCTTTCAGCCCCAGTTCAGAATGCTGTAGGACACCACTCTCTTTTTTGGCTCCACATCCAGTATATCTGGAATTCAACTCTCGGCTGACCAGGCCTCGCTACAGAGGCCATCTCCTCTCCACCTGTTTCACCCAAGCCGCCTCCACCCAGTCTGCTGTTCTACTCTTGGAGTTGGATTTCCATTGGAGAGCTTCTGAAGTTCAGGTAATGCTGGAGGAACCAAGGCCAGAGTTAGGAGGGGCGGGCGGTGAGAAGGAAGGGGTAAAAGTCCCATCGACCCACTCCATGCAGCCAAGGTCTGGTTCCCTTCCTGTCCCCTTTCTAGAGCCCCCTTACCTCAAGGGACAGGGCTGGGGAACAGAAAGGGGCTGAGGAATGCAAGGTCAGGGTTAGGGAGGAGCCCATTCAGGACTGGGCCCCTAGTGCATGAAGAAGTGGGTGAAGGCAGGGCTCAGACAGAGAAATAGATATGTATATATAATATATATATATATAAACAGCAAAGACAGTTAGGGTCTCCTGGGTTGAGGGGTGGAGACCTAGAGGATGGGAGTGGGAAGGGGAGGGCAGGCCTTCTCTTGAGCTCTTGCCCACCCGTGGGGTCTTCCTGGACTTCACTGACCTGTAGAGAGAAAAGACACAGAAAGGAGAAGGGGTCCAGATGTGGGCGGAGCCTTCACAGAGGAGAGTAGTACCCTCAAGAAGGGATTAGGCCAGTATGCTTTTTCTTCTACCCGGCATATTTTCTTCTTTTTTTTTTTTTCTCTAACAGGTCTGGAGTCAGCATCATCCGAGCAGCACTCTCACTAGGAAGATATTACTAACCTTGCTCAAACTGGGTACCAAAGGAACAGACAGCTAAGGTCCCCTCTCTTAACCAAAAGATCCCATTAACCAGTTCCGTTCTAGTCCACATTTGTTCAATATGGATAACAACAACAACAACAACAAAACTATCCCTATCTTTGTGAGGCTTACATTATATCAGGGGAGGAGACAGGTTTCACACAATGAACATGACATATTTGTAGATTACCTAATATAAGACGATAATAGGCCAGGCATAGTGGTGTACACCTTTGATCCCAGCACTCAGGAGGCAGAGGCAGGTGGATCTCTGTGAGTTTGATGCCGGCCTGATCTACACAGTGAGTTCCAGAATAGCCAGGGCTATGTAGAGAGACCTTGTCACCAAACAAACAAACAAATTCTCTAAGTGAGCCTGAAGAAATGACTCAGAAGTTAAGAGTGATTGTTGTTCTCCACAGAACCCACACTGAGTGGGTTACAACTATCTGCAAATTTAACTCCAAGGAATTTGACCTTTCTCCTGGTCTCCATGGACACTTGAACACACAGGTTCATACTCACATACATACATATAATTAAATAAAAGTAGAATATTTTTTAAAAGTCCTCTAAGTAATGTATGCGTAGCATGAATACATCTAGTTAGATCTCCAATCTAGTGTAATACAGCCACGAACCATAAATTAGTAAATTACAAATTGTGAGAAGGAAAAACACGGGGTATGATGAGAGCTATAATGGGGGCGGGTGTTGTTTTAGACAGACAACCACTGATATGTAGTTGGTGGTATATGCCCATGATCCCAGAATTTAGGAGGCAGAGGCAGGAGGAAAACAAGTTTGAGGCCAGCTTGGGTTCCATAATGGGAGCCTAACTCAAACAAAATGCAAATGGGAGGTAGAGGCACAGTCAGGAAGTCAAGATCACCCTTAGCGACATAAGGAGCTCCAGGCCAGCTTTGGCTACAGGAGATCTTGTTTCAAAAATAATATCAACAGCAACAACATCGCTAGCTGTGGTGGTGCAGACCTATGAATCCCAGCCACATGTGAGATGGAGACAGGAGTACTGCGAATTCAAAGCCTGCCTGGGCTATACAATGAGTTCCAAGACAATCTGGGCAATTTAGTAAGCTTGGTCTCAAAATAAGAAGTAGAAAGAGGCCCAATTATATAGCTCAGTTGTAGAGCACTTGCTTAGTGTGTCATTGACCTGAATTCAATTCTCAGTACTTGTAAAACAAAATAACCCCCCAGAAAGACAGACAGACAGACAGACAACAAAAACCTCATTGAGTGAATGACCAAAGCAATGGCTAGGTAATGGTGTGTATGTGTATAGCAAGTGCAAAGGCCCTGCAGTTCATCTAGACCTGGCCCAGGCCAGTTTAACCGAAACAGAGTGCTAAGAGCCAAAGGTCAGATTAAATGTCTGTGGTGGAAGATAGGTTAGTACTGCCGAGTGGGTCTATGAACACACTGAAATAGTTTTGCCTTTAAGTGAGATGCTACAACGGACATCTGCGGAAAGGACCGTGACTTCTGAGTTTAGGACAGGAGCCTAGTAGACTCCTCGAGGATGCTGGATGGTAGCAGGTTGTAAACCGGACAGGCACTTGGGAAGGCTTCTAAGGAAGATAATTGTGAAAAATGGAAAAGGCTGGAGAGATTTTGAAAATAGGAACCAACAGGACTGGATTTGGGGGGTGGGGGTGGGGAGGGACAGAATCTCCGAGTGGCCTGGAAATTGCTTTTCAAACCAGGCTGGTCTTGAACTCACAAGACACCTGCCTGTCTCTGCTTCCCCCAGAGCTGAGCTTAAAGGCGTGTCCCAAAGCCTGGCCACGGAGTTTTTGAACAATTAAATGCGGGATGCTGTAGAAGACTCAAGATCTTGGCTCACTCATGACCACGGCTACTCCCTAGGTGGCACGTCTACATCTAGGTGCTGTTATCTTTTCCTATTTTAAGACAGGAGTGGGGCCGGGCGGTGGTGGCGCACGCCTTTAATCCCAGCACTTGGGAGGCAGAGGCAGGCGGATCTCTGAGTTCGAGAGTTTAAGGCTAGCCTGGTCTACAGAGTGAGTTCCAGGACAGCCAGAAACACAGAGAAACCCTGTCTCAAAAAACCAAACCAAACCAAACCAAACCAAAAAAAAAAAAAAAAAAAAAGACAGGAGTGCGCTATATAGACCAAGCAGGACTCGAGATCTTTGCAATCCCCGTGCCTCTGTCTCTCACGTGCTGGGATTATATATGTGCTCCATCACGTCAGGAATTCATTTTTTTAAGGCCGAACAAGAAGACATACTCTGTTTCTAAGGTCTCCACGCCTCCCCTTTTCCTCACTTGAAATTCCAAACCATCTCTTTCATTAAAGGGTTAAGGAGAGGTAGCAGCTGACCTACATCCTGCTTTCGCACTGATGACCTTCAAAACCCACCTTGTTTACCTTCCTCCACCTACCGGCGTTACCACCTATTGGTCTACCAATTATTTCAAAGACCCACCTCCCCTTCCCTTCCTGAAAACCTACACCACTACTATGGTGATTTTCCACTGCGCAAGTGCGCCTACACTCCTTTCATTGGCTACTCTGAGCACTGCTCCTTCCCCTTCCTTCTCATGGTCTCCTCTCATTGGCTAGTTTCCCCAAGTTTAATTTTTTTTTGTAGTTCTGCCTATCTATTGGTTCCTTCAAACTTCACTTCTTGTATGCTCCCTGCCTACCACATCCGCCCATTTGTCACTCACCAGATTACATCTGATTGGAGAAGGAGGTGGGCGCACCCTGTTGGCCATAGCCTTGCTGCCCATAGTCGCCCTGAGGCCCGTAGCCACCGCCTCCGCTGGCTGGCTGCCCGTAATCGGGTTGATAACCACCCTGAGGCCCGTAGGAGTCCTGGGGCCCATAGCCTCCGGGGCCCTGCCCGTAGCCCGCATCGCCGTAGGCATCGCCAGGTGCTGGTTGCTTTTCCGGGGCGCCTGGAGGTGCGCGCATGAATGGGGCGGCCCAGCCTGTCTCTTTGAACACGAACCATAGATTGCCAACCCAGAGCACCAGGTTCAGGAAGCCAAACACCTGCAGGGAGACATGACCAAAGCTGATGTCACTTATCCATTGCCTTGGCAGCCCGAGAGACATTGAGGCTGAGTGAACAGGAATGGGCATTTTTAGGGCATAAATTTGTGGGCCTCTGTGACAGTGTATAGAAAAACTTGGGAGTAGGGCAGTTTGTTAGGATTTAGATTCCCATGGATGTTAAACTTCTATCATTGTTTACATGTACAAATATTTATTGAGCCTGTAATCCTACAATTTAAGTTAAGGCTAGCTTTTTTTTTTTTTTTTTTTTTTTGAGACAGGGTTTCTCTGTTCAGCTCTGCCTGGCCGTTCTGAAACTTACTCTGTAGACCAGGCTGGCCTGGAAGTCATAGAGGTCGCTTGTCTCTGCCTCCACTGCCCAGAAATTCAAGTCTAACTTTAACTAACTTTAAGTTCACAGTTTGAGGCTAGCCTGGTGCTACATGAAAGTCAGCCTCAAACAACTCATTTTTCAGGCTGGGTGTGGTGGTACAGTCTTTAGCCCAGTACTCAGGAGGCATAGGCAAGCAGAGCTCTGTGAGTTTGAGGCCAGCCTGGTCTGCATAGTGAGTTCCAGTACAGCCAGGGCAAACCAAAACCAAAACCAACCAAACAAAAAACCTAAATAAAACAAACCAAACCAAAAAAAAAAAAACCAAATTTAAAAATATATTTGAGTCTATACTTGCTAGGTATACATGTACAGAATAAAGTAAATTTAAATTTGTAAAATATAAAAATGTATGCTTTAAAGAAATGGACATCACTAATTGATGCATATATAAACATATGTATATACAACTTAGCACACAGATGCATATGTATAAAACTTAGTCATGTACACATATACAATTTTTTTGGTTGTTTTTTTGAGACAGGGTCTTTTTACGAGGTCCTGGCTGTCCTGGAACTCCTTATGTAGATGAGGCTGGCCTCAAATTCACAGAAATCTACATGCCTCTGCCTCTCAAGTGTTTTTTGTGGCTGTCGAGACAAGGTTCTACGATGTAGCTTGGCAGCCCTGGAACTCACTGTGTAGACCAGGCTGGCCTCTGCCTTCCAAGTGATAGGATTAAAGGGTTCTAGGAATTGAACTCCCATTCACAGGAAAAGCAATACTAACCCCTCTTCTTTTCTTTTTCTTTCTTTCTTTTTTTTTGTTTTTTGTTTTTTGTTTTTTTTTTTCCGAGACAGAGTTTCTCTGTGTAGCCCTGGCTGTCCTGAAACTCACTCTGTAGACCAGGCTGGCCTCGAACTCAGAAATCCACCTGCCTCTGCCTCCCAAGTGCTGGGATTAAAGGCGTGCGCCACCACTGCCCGGCTGCTTCTTTTTAAATTGATATTTATTTGTTTTGTTTGTTTTTGAGACAGGGTCTTGCCATTTATCCAAGGATGACTTGGAGTTTACTATGTAGAGCACTCTGGCTTTAGATTAGCCCTGGGGATAGAGTAATGGCTCAGAGGTTAGGGTCTAGGTTTGATGTCCAGCATCCACATGGTGGCTCACAAACACCTGTAACTCCAGTTTCAGGATATCTGACACCCTTTCTTAACCTCCACAGACACCAAGAATGCAAGTGACACATCTAAGCAAAATACACACATAAAATAAAAATGAATAAATATTTTAAAAAGTAGTAGTTTTTTTAAGTGCTAGGTTTACAGGCATATATTAACATCCTTGGCTCTATATGGTTTTTGTTTTTTTGTTTTTTGGTTTTTTTTACATAGGGTCTCACTCTGCAGCCCTGGTTGGCCTGGAATTCTCTTTGAATACCACGCTGGCCTCAAACTCTCAGAGATCCACCTGCCTTTGCTCCCAAATGCTGGGGTTAAAGGCGTGTGCTACCATGTGCCCAGCTAAGTACATGCTATTTAAAAAAAAACAATTTAAAACTTATAAATAAATATGGAGCTTATATGAAATATTTAAAAACAAAATTCTTTATGGCGTTTACATATGTTACACCCTCTTCTGAGCACCTTTATTAGTTTCCTTAAAGT